CCTCATTCAGCCAGGAGGAGGCAGGAGAAGAGGGAGGGTAAGTTGCTTCCTCCCCGCCTCTCCCCACCCCTGCCTGCCTGGGGCCAGGGAGGGCCTTGGCGGGGCTTCCTCGCACTCCTGCTGGCCTTGCAGGTCCACCGCCGGGCCCCTGATGTCAGGGGGTGTGGCATATGCTAATGAGTTATGCTAATGAGTTCCCCTAGCTCTTTTTCTACGAAATGACCCCTGAACAAAACAATGCTGCACACAATACAAAATGGCAAGTGACAGCAAAACAACTGTGTGCTGAAATACCCGCAAGAGTAAATATACAAAAAGAGACTTCAGCAAAGTGAAACACATATGTAATCAGCAATAAATCTGTACATAAAATCCATCATAGGAAATATAGAAGTCTACAGAATGCATCAAGTCCAAAGTAGATATCCAACACTTTTCCTAGGTAGTATATAGTGTTTCAGACTTCTGGTCCTTCCTCAGGAACAAAGAGCTATAGAAGTACAAAATACAATAATACCTTTTAACAATATAGCTAAATAAATCCAAACATTGCACAAAAATCATATTAAATACAAATGATCACTGTTAGAGTCTCATACATCTTACCCACAATAGAAAGTCTCATTCCAATTTCTTTACAAGACAATATTGTTCAGTTTCTCTGTAAAAGAGAAAAACTACTTAGAATAAAGAATTTTTAGCACAATATTTATTTATTTATTATTTATTTATTGTTTACATTTTTATCCCGCCCTCCCCGTAGGCTCAATATAACACAATATATGGACCACAAAATATACTCACTTATAGGCCAGGTCTCCTAAGCTTGAAAGTGCACCTCTCAAGGTTGCTACTATGTAGAACAGGACCAAAAATGCCTCAGAGTATTCAGTCTGCTAGGCCTGCTTTATGAGTTACATTAAGTGCAGCTGGTTGTATCCTGCTGAGCTTTAAAGTTGCAGTACCTCCTACTGCATAAATACTAAAGCAATAGGAGTTACCATCTCCAGGTGAAAGATTCCTGGAGGATCAAGCCAATTAAGCCTGTGATATATATCAAAACAAGTTATACCAATATGAACTCCTAAGAAGCTATAGTATTAGAAAGATCAGTTCCCTTGGAGAAAATGGCTGCTTTGGAGGGTGGGCTCTGTGGCATTATACCCTGCTGAGGTCTCCCTCCCCTCCCCAAACCCCACCCTCCCCGGGCTCCATCCCCAAAATCTCCAGGAACGTCCCAACCCAGAGCTGGCAATGCTATACAACATGGGGCACCAAGAAGGGGGGGATTCTCACACAGCCGCGGCAATTAAAACCAATACCTAATTTATTCATCAGTAGTATCCATATCCATTAAGGAGCTGCGGTGGCTCAACTGGTTAAGACGCTGAACTGCAGGCTGTGGAAGGTCAGTAGTTCAGCAGTTCGAGACCTGAGTGCACCGCATGACGGAGTGAGCTCCCATCTCTAGTTCCAGCTCCTGCCAACCTAGCTGTTCGAAAGCAAGAAATTGCAAGTAGATAAATAGGAACCACTTCGGTGGGAAGGTAACAGTGTTCCGTGCGCCTTGGTGTTTAGTCATGCCGGCCACATGACCACGGAAACGTCTTCAGACAGCGCTGGCTCTTCGGCTTTGAAACGGAGATGAGCACCGCAACCCTAGAGTCGGATTCAACTGGCTTTCGAGCAAGGGACCCTTTACCTTTAGTATCCATATGTGGTGCATTTGGTCAATATTGACGTTCATCGGTGCAAATGCCCCAACGTGAGTTTTCAGGTAAAAGCCTGTGGGGATTCAGATCCCCCAACAGGAACATATTTAGCCCGAAGTCTGTCTCACTTGGTTCAGTGGGACTTGATTCCCAAATGATGCTTCCTGCCTGCTGGTTTTGGAAGTATGTGTATTAAAAAAAAAGTCAGCAATATTTTTGAAACAAAAATCAGCTGCCTTTTTTAGTCAAAGATTTAAATTGGTTAATGCACAGTGGGTTAGAGAAATCCATTTAGACATTTTGAGTGAAAAGACTGAATGGATTCGAACCTCTTAATTACAACAATCTATTAAAATATTAATATTAATCAGGGCTTTTTGGGGGGGAAAGAGGTGCCGGAATTCTCAAAAGGGAAATGAAGTTTTCAATCTGTATACTGAAAACTCATGAACGTTTAAACATTTTAAAAATAATTTTGTCGAACAGGTTCCGGAACTCTGTTCTGGCACATTCCCCCAGAAAAAAAAAGCACCCTGATATTAATCAACTGCAAATCATAGAATTGACAGTCTCTGTTGCAATCTGCTATTTTTGTTAACTGTGTTTTCTTAAGTTTTTGAAATAAAAGTTAACCTAGGCCAGGGTCCCCAGCATCTTTCCTGGCACCTGCCAAATGTTTTTAGAAAAGCGGACAGGGTAAGGTGGGGGTTTTGCCCAGCACGTCTTCTGCTTGGCCATTGTGTGACTGAAAGTAACCCTCGGCAGCCATTTTGTGACTGGCGGCAGCCATTTTGTGGCTGTGCCACCCTATTGTGTCAAAATTCGAAAGGTGCCCACAGGCTCACAAAGCCTGGGGATCCCTGACCGAGGCTAGTTCATCTTGGCCAGCATTCTGGGGAGAAGGAGTTACATTCTGTACAGTAGCTGAGAATTTTCCTGTTGAGTTTTGTATGGCAAAGAGACAGGGGCTTTGACTCTTGCGCATTTTTGTGCAGTGTTGAGAAGCATCCCCTTTGCTTCTAAGGGGAATGCAAGGACCTATGTGGAGAACCACCTTCCCCTTGGCGCTCTAAGGCTGCGGTCACACACACTAAATAATCCACTTTCGATCCACTTTCAATGCACTTTCCTACTGGATTTTGCCAGTTCACACAGTAAAATCCAGCTGGAAAGTGCACTGAAAGTGGATTGGATGTAGATTACTTAGTGTGTGTGTGACCGCAGCCCAAGAAGTCATTTAGCATTTTGGCTTCTGATTTCAACAAGCACTGCCTGAATCGCATGACTTCATGCAGCCGTTGGGGATTCGTTTTGCTGCTCCCAGAACCAAATTCTGTTCTCAGGTGTGCTTTATTTAGGTACCTGCCCTTCTTCTAAGTAATCTGGAATGGCATCCCTGAGACCAATCCATTTTATTCTCAGCACAACCCTGTGGGGTAGGCGAATGCTGAGTGCTTGTGAGGCGACCAACATGGACATTTCTTCTCCAAGTCCAAAAATACTCAGTCACGTATTTCTATTTTCCAGTGTAGGGTCACTCCTGTCCCCATCTGGCTGAAAGATTGGGACCGACATGGACATCCAGTCAGAGACAGTCTCAGGGCCTGAAGCGCCAACAGAGGCCCCGGGGGCTCCTCCAATGGATTTAGAGGAGAACACCACAGGAGCGGAAGAAGCGCCATCGTGCAACTCAGGAGAAGACGTTTACCCCATCCAGCAACCGCTTGGAAGCCTGCAGGTTATTCCTGGGCCTAGCAATGCAGAATCGAGGCTCCGTGATCCTGAGACACAGGAAGAGCCAGACAACATGGAGGGGCCCGGATGGTTTCCAGACCCCAAAAACGCCAGTCCTCCGGGAACTACAGAAGAGGGATCTAGGTAAATAAAAATAATAATCTTTCCCTTAACTGTTCTGTCCTCTCCCTCTCTAGGGTTGCCAGCCTCCAGGTGGGACCTGGATACCCCCTGGAATTACGACTGATCTCCAAATGACAGAAATCAGTTCACACCTTGAGGAAATGGCAACTTGGAAGGGCGGGCCCTATGGCATCGTACCCCACTAAGGTCCCTCCCCGAGCCCCGCCTTCCCTAGGCTCCACCCCCAAATTCCTGGAATTAAAATGGGAGGCACACTCCACTCTCATACTCCCAAAGAAGAACTGCCTACTCGCAGAGGATGTTCCCACCTGTGCTCTGCATGAGTCACTGTTCTGGATGTGCCTGCTTCCTGGAAGGAGGCAATTGGAGAGCAGTGACACGTACAGAGAAGTAAAGAAGAGGATGGACAAACCTCCAGGAGGAACGACTGAGGGGGGCTGGAGGATCCCTCAGACACTTAAACTGTCCACACACACACACACACAAACACACCCCGCACTGAAGAGAGAGCACTGCAAAATAAAACATCAGAAGCAACTTATATTGGCAAATCTGACATATCCAACTGGAGCATGGCAGAACATTGCTTAAAATAAATAACTGCCTTCTCTTATGATGGTTCTTCCTCTTGCACAGCAATGACCCCTGGGTATATAAACCCTGAAGTATAATTAAGGCAAGCCTCTTGGTATTTGCCCCTGCCAACCTGGGGTCTTCTGTCTCTAGGGCTGCCAGCAGGGGATGGGAGGGGTAGGGTTGCCACCTCCAGGTTGGGGAACTCCTGGAGATTTGGGGGTGGAGGAGGGACCTCAGTAGGGTACGATGCCATAGAGTCCACCCTCCAAAGCAGCCATTTTCTCCAGGGAAACTGATCTCTGTAGTCTGGAGATGAGCTGTAATTCCAGGGGATCTCCAGGTCCCACCTGGAGGGTGGCATCCCTATCCTCCCCAGCTGATGTACCTGCCCAGTTGGGCCCTCTCAAGCTGAGCTCAGCTGGCACATTCCTGAGTGCAGAACGGCCTCCTCTTTCACAATCTGCACAGCAGTTACAGAAACACAATCACTTTAATGCTAATTAACCCCCTTTTCGTTAGAACTAACAATCTATATTTATACAATTTCATAACCTCCACTCTTGACTTACATTTTAGATGACCACTTCTATACCACACTTTAAAAACATAGTTGGACCAGACATTATGAAAATGGCTATATTCTAGAATGTTCCTTGAACTAAAATTACGGCCGGCCAAGAAAGCTCCTCCGATAGTCGTGAGGCTACCTGCTCCCAGTTTGGTGTCGTGGTTAGGAGCACAGAACTCTAATCTGGGAGAACCAGGTTTGATTCCCAACTCCTCCACATGCAGCTACTGGTACAGTTACAAGATCTCTCAGACCCATTCTCTCAGGAGCAGTTCTCTAAAGAGTTCTCTCAGTCCCACCTACCTCACAGGATGAGGGATTGTAAGCTGCTCTGAGACTCCTTCGGGTAGTGAAGGGCGGGGTATAAATCCAATCTCTTTGTCTTCTTCTCCCTTTCAATGATGGCTGCCACTTCTAGAAGGTTCAGATAGCCACGTGCATGGAAGAAGAAATCTTCCCCTTCTGCTACAGGAATGTCACTACTGTCTATCCTGGCAGTCACCCAGCAGCCTAACCAGGTTGTTCTGAGGTGGGGCCGTACCCATTACTGAAGTGCGAGCTGAGTCTTGAGGTGGGGCCGTACCCATTACTGAAGTCTGCGGAGTTGGCCTGGCTACCGTGAGTAGCCAGGCAGAGTCTAGCACAGACAAACATGGACGGACAGGACTGTGGGGAGAGACCAGGACTGTTCCATCTCTGGTCCTGCTAAACGGTCAGAAACCCAAGCATCGTCCTTCCCCGTCCAAGCCCCATGCTCCTCTGGGTAGAAAAGCTGGATTTATGACATCCGTCAGCATTTTGATGCAAAACACAAGACAGATAATGAGAAAAAGAGGACCATCCTGTTAAAAACAAGCAAACCAACCGGGCCGAGTGGCTATCATATTGATCTGTGACCTGGGCACACAAAGACCAATTCGTGTGCCCTTAAACGCAGATCTTGCGGCTTCATGCGACTGGTTTCCCAAGTCTCTCTCTTTCGGTATTATCTCTGTTGATTCTTCCTCCCCTTCTCACTGATCTTGTGTGTTTGTTGTTGCAGGAATGTGGTGGGAGTCGTGGGAGAGCCTGCAGAGGACGCTGCAGCCTTGGAGGACAGCCCAAGCTGGGCCAGGAATGCAGACAAGGACTTGGAGGCAGGGGGCAGGCCTCAGGCCCCTCCGGGTGCCGACCAGCTCATGGATTTAGAGGAGGGGGGGAGGGAAGCCTGCGCAGAGACTGACCAAAGCCAACTGCAAGGCCTCCTGGCCCAGCTCCAAAGACTCAGCCCCAGCTTCCAGGAGAGCTCGCCCCATTCAGAAGACGACCTCCTGCCTGCCTCGGATGGGGAGGAGAGCCGGGCTTTTGAGGACGAGAGAGGCCCGCTGCTCCGGCCCGCGGGCCAGACCGAGTGCCAGGGGCTGCTGGGGGAATGCGCCCCCTGCCCGCTGCACCTGGCTATGAGGCGCACCTTGGGGGTGGCTTCCCACCCATTCCTGCAACCCTCCCGTGGCTGGAAGGGCCGGGGAAGCCATGGGCTGCTTTCGGCTGAGGCCGACCGCGAGGACCTGCTGAGCCTCTTGCGCTTCGAAGAGGGACCCCCCGTGGAGCAGAGTGACCAGAGGCCACTGGCCCGCTCCGACGTGGTGGTGGGGACGAGCTGCCCAGACGTCCAGGACGAAGGGAGCGCTAGTGCGTTGAAGGTGCCATCCTGGCACGAGAGGCGGCCGGATCCCACCCGTCAGAGCGCGGAGCAGCTAGAAATGAAAGGGCCCCGTCAGTGTTTTGCTGCTGGTGAAGAAGACCCCCGTGCCCTGGGTTCCAGTCTGGGAGCCAGCAGCCAGGAGAGCTCCCCAGGCCCAAGGTGGAGAGCGGTGGCTGAAGGTTCCAGCCGCGGTGGAGAACCACCTCCCCCTGTAGATGAGGCTGTGAGTATCTTGCGTCGTCTTCCAGCGGGCAGCCGTCTTCTCATCGCTGTTGGCCATCATCGGGCAGTGTGCTTTGCAGAGCGCAAGACCTCTGCTCCCCTGCCCGGAGAGGCTTACAGTCACCAAGGGGGAGGAAGTGGGGAAGAATCTGTGCTTGTTCCAGTTAGGCATTGCTTGAGGAGGGGAGGGGGAAGCGATTTGAGGGCAGGGAGGAAAGGAGATGGCATCATGCATTTGTTAGTGCCGGTTTGGTGTAGCGGTTAGGAGTGTGCGGACTCTAAACAGGGAGAACCGGGTTTGATTCCCCACTCCTCCACATGCAGCTCCTGGTGTGACCTCAGGTCAGTTACAAGTCCTCTCAGAGCTGTTCTCTCAAGGGCAGTTCTCAAGAGAGCTCCCTCAGCCCCACCTTCCTCACAGGGTGTCTGTTGTGGGGAGGGGAAGGGAAAGGCGATTGTAAGCAGCTCTGAGACTCCTTCGGGTAGTGAAGGGCGGGGTATAAATCCAATCTCTTCTCTTCTTATTTGAGGGGGTTCCAAAGCAAAAGGGCAGCAAGGGAGAAGAATTTGCTTGAGGGAGCAGGAGAGCTGAGGGTGGTGAAGCTGGAGAGGTAAAGGCTGCAGAGGGGATATGACAGTTGAGACGGGGGAGGTTAAGAAGAAGAAGAAGAAGAGATTGGATTTATACCCCGCCCTTCACTTGGAGTCTCAGAGTGGCTTACAAACTCCTTTCCCTTCCCCTCCCCACAGCAGACACCCTGTGAGGTAAAAGAAGAAGAAGAAGAGATTGGATTTATACCCCGCCCTTCACTACCCAAAGGAGTCTCAGAGCGGCTTACAAACTCCTTTCCCTTCCCCTCCCCACAACAGACACCCTGTGAGGTAAAAGAAGAAGAAGAAGAGATTGGATTTATACTCCGCCCTTCACTACCCAAAGGAGTCTCAGAGCGGCTTACAAACTCCTCTCCCGTCCCCTCCCCACAACAGACACCCTGTGAGGTGGGTGGGGCTGAGAGAACTCTGACAGAAACTGCTCTTTTTCAAGGACAGCTGTGCCAGAGCTTGTGACTGACCCAAGGTCACATCAGCAGCTGCAAGTGGAGGAGTGGGGAATCAAACCCGGTTCTCCCAGATTAGAGTCCGCGCACTTAACCACTGCACCAAACTGGAGATAGAGGGCTTTGGAAGCCAAGATGAGGAGTTTCTACTGGCCCTGGGGGTGGGCAGGAAGCTGTGTCAGAAGGCAAGGATGGACATCACATGGTGGAGTGGGGAGCCTGAAGTGGGCCTAGGTGCACTTGCGGTGGGGGACTGAATCTTCCCACAAGGCCTCTGAGAGTCACAACAGCCCCCTCTTTTCCCGATGAAGATCCTTTTTACAGCTCGGTGTTCTTTAGTTAATTTCTAGCCTTCCCTCCCCTGCATAGCAGGCTCAGGGTGGGCCACGACAACGGATAAGACAATAGATGTAGCACAGTTAAAAAATAATACAACCATTAAAACTATATAAAACATCAACTGATTGATTAAGAGGGGGGTCCACAACACAGTTAAGCAATCCTCGAAGCTCTGCTTATGTGCACCCATGGGTGGAACAGGACCAAAAGCAAGTGGGTCGATGATGAAAGTCGACCACAATATAGTATAGCAGGGCAGGAGAGGCTAATACAGATGGAATGCTGACACCTCGACAGTAGATGGGTAAAACATTTCCAGGGGTCATTTCGTAGAAAAAGAGCTAGGGGAACTCATTAGCATAACTCATTAGCATATGCCACACACCCTGACGTCATAAGGCCCGGCGGTGGACCTGCAAGGCAGGCAGGGGTGGGGAGAGGCGGGGAGGAAGCAACTTACCCTCCCCCTTCTCCTGCCTCCTCCTGGCTGAATGAGGGCCGGAAGCCGGGCAGCCGGGAGCAAGGGGCAGCCGGAAGCAGGGGGCGGGGCTTTGTCGTGTGCCCCGCCCCCACACCTCACCCGGGGGAACTGCGATCCCCCGCGATCCCCCCCGAATCGACCTCTGCATTTGACCTAAGGACCATACACGTTTCAGCTCCTTCGGGCCTTCCTCAGTGGTCAGTATTCCTTATTTTACAATGACACGCATCCAGAGAGAGAGAGAGATCAGGTGTTGCTTTCTTATATGCATTGCAGTTATTGCAAGTCTGTGTAATGGGCCATGGTGTATCCCCTTTGATGGAGGTGACACACATCCCGATGAAAGGGATATTGGATACCAGAATAATTTGGTGAATTTGCACAGCTACTCTCCATGGCCCATTATACAAACCTGCAATAACTGCAAAGCATATAAGAAAGCAACACCTGGTCACATATGTGTGTGTGTGTGTGTGTGCGCGCGCGCATTAACTGCATTAAGTCCTGGTCACATATATATGTGTGTGTGCGCGCGCGCACGCGCGCATTAACTGCATTAAGTCCTGCAGGGCCCGGATTTCACTGGGGAGAGTGTTCCACCAGGCCGGCACTGGAGCTGAAAAAGCTCTGGCTGAGGCTAAGTGGATACCTTTTGGGCCCGGGGATCATCAGAAGCTCTGTAAAGCATAGAGCTCTTTGGGGACATACTGGGAGAGATGGCCCTGCAGATATGGTGGTCCCAGACCGCATTGGGCTTTAAAAGTCGAAACCAAAACCTTGATCTCATATGTTATAGGTAGCCAGTGCAGCTGACGCAGCACCGGTTGTATATGTGCTGTTAGTGGTGTCCCCGTAAGGACACATGCGGCTGCGTTCTGGACCAGTTGAAGTTTCTGGGTCAACCTCAAGGGTAGCCCTGCGTAAAGAGAGTCACAGAAGTAGATCTATTCTGGAGATCAGGGGTCCGCAACTGTTTTGGAGCCTGTGGGCACCTTTGGAATTCTCACCCAGCATGGTAGGTGCAACCACAAAATGGCTGCCGTGGAGGTGGAGCTAGCCACGAAACAGCTGCTGCAGCTTACCTTCAGTCATCCTGTGAAGATCCTTGTGGCAGCTGCTACCGAAGCGATGTTTTAAAAAAATCTGCACAGCCAATCAAATCTGCAGTGGCCAATGAGAAGTCTCGCTGGGCAAAAGCCTCACCAGAACCCACCCACTTTCTAAACACTGGGCAGGCTCCCAGTTTGGTGTAGAGCCAGTTTGATGTAGTGGTTAAGAGCGGCGGGACTCTAATGTTTTGAACTGGGTTCAATTCCCCACTCTTCCACTTGAAGCCAGCTGGGTGACCTTGGGTCAGTCACAGCTCTCTCAGAGCTCCCTCAGCCCCGCCTACCTCACAGGATGTCTGTTGTGGGGAAGGGAAGGGGATTGTAAGCCACTCTGAGACTCCTTCATGTAGTGAAGGGTGGGGTGTAAAACCAGTTCTTCATCTTCTTTTTCTGTCCTAGTTGTAAAAACATATCAGATGACTTGCCTACTGCCCTGGGTCTCCAAGGTGACTAGGATTTTTGTCCCCTGGATCCCCCCCTCTCACAGACCCTGCGTGCCCTGGCCTCTCTGCCTGCCCCCCTACCTTCACGGCAAGCACCTATGCCTTTTGCAAAACTCAGCTTAGAGGGAACTTTGCAAAGGTTTTGCAAAACCAGGGCAGTGAAGCGAGGTGTCTCTGCAGGACACCCAACTTCTGTCTTAATGCAGTCTTTCCTTCCCTACAACATGCTCCTGGTTAATGAAGTTGCTGATATCCACTTCACTCCAGAATTTGGGGTGTCACCCCCCTCCCCACTTCTAAGATGAAAGTGTATCATCTTTCCCCCAACGTTGATATCCACTTCACTCCAGAATTTGGGGTGTCACCCCCCTCCCCACTTCTAAGATGAAAGTGTATCATCTTTCCCCCAACGTTGTTTGGCACCAACACTTACTTTCAGGGCCGGCTCGCTCACTAGGCAAACTAGGCGCTCGCCTAGAGCACGCCGGCCCTTAGGGGCGCCAAACTGGCACCCGGCCCCCCCACCAAAAGCCCCCGGGCAGGTTCAGCTTCCCAGCTCTGAGGACTGGATCCCTGCAGGAATTCACCTGCTGCTGAACTCCCATGTGCTGCTTGAAAAACATGCCTCACCCCCCCCCCCGGGTCAAGGAGCCTGTTTGGAAATCCAAAAGGAGGCTTCACATCTGCTTGTGCTCGGTTTCTGCCTTGATAGATGGCCATGCAGGGTCGTGGATTTGCAAGGTACCACGGCTTCCTGCACAGGAGAAGAAACCTGTGGCTTTGTTCATAGAAGAGGAAACTCCCCAATGGTTTTGGGGTTTTTTGACAGTTTTTATTAGTATAATTTCAACAACATACAAACATACGGATCCTTCAAAGAGTACATTATTAATTGCTCTGGCCAAAATCATAATATACCCAACATATTTCAACTATTTAACATAACTATTATTTTTCTCCAGCCACGTATAAAATTTTAACCAAATATTCTTAAAAAGCATCATCCTCTCTCCCTTGTAACCTCATTGTCAAATTATCCAATTCCGCTATTTCTTTAAATTTCATTATAAGATCTTTCGTTGATGGAATAGTTTCCTGTTTCCAATATTTTGCCAAGATCATTCTTGCTGCAGTGAGCAAGTGACTAATCAGATGTTCATCTATTTTATCTAAATTGTCAGGCATTATGTTTAATAAGAATATCTCAGGAGCATAAGGAATTGACCTATTGAGTATTTGTACAATGATACTATGCAGTTCTTTCCAAAATTTTTGAATTTTAGTACATGTCCACCAGGCATGAAAATAACCCTTCTAAAGGATGCATGTAGTTGAAAAGGTATTTCAAATAAGAAATTTTGTTGTTTTTTCACACCAGTATACCAACCCCAAGTGGGTCACCACACCAGGGCTCATTTCGTAGAAAAAGAGGTTGTTGTTTTTTCACACCAGTATACCAACCCCAAGTGGGTCACCACACATACATTTGTGTGCCTTTTGCCCTTTTATTCTCACAACAGCCTTGTGAGGTAGGTTAGTCAGAGAGAATGGTTTACCTGAAAGTCTGGCTGGCTTTCTTCCTTTTTTCTATAAAATTTGTATTCCGCCTTTCTGCCCACATTGGGGCCACCAAGGCAGCTAACACATTAAAAATGTCCATAATAACATCTTAAAAACTATTAAATCCAAGCCAAAAAAACACATCATTGATACATTTGTGAGCAGGGTTTCAAATCCGGGTCTCCACAAAGCACTTCGTCTGTCTGCTATATCACTTCCCTTTCGTTTTACCCATGTTTAAATTCAGATTGTGAGCATCTAAACAGGGATCTGTATTTTATTTTTTAAAATCTCTATTTATTTATAGCCCACTTTTCTCATTGGGACTCAAAGTGGGTTGCAGAATGCATTCAGACAGCATAAGACATAGAATCATAGACTCCATAGAGGCCATCCAGTCCAGCCCCCTGTTCAGTGCAGGATCAGCCTAGAGCATCCGTGACAAGTGTTCATCCAGCCACTGCTTAAAGATTGCCAGGGAGGGGGAGCTCACCACCTCCTTAGGCATCTGATTCCACTGTTGCACAACTCTGACTGTAAAAATTTTTTCACTGATATCCAGCCAGTAACTTCCCGCCCTTAATTTAAACCCACTATTGCGAGTCCTATCTTCTGCTGCCAACAGGAACAGCTCCCTGCTCTCCAGTTTGGTGCCAGTTTGGTGTAGTGGTTAAGTGTGCGGACTCTAATCTGGGAGAACCGGGTTTGATTCCCCACTCCTCCACTTGCACCTGCTGATGTGACCTTGGGTCAGTCACAAGCTCTGGCACAGCTGTCCTTGAAAAAGAGCAGTTTGTGTCAGAGTTCTCTCAGCCCCACCCACCTCACAGGGTGTCTGTTGTGGTGAGGGGAAGGGAAAGGAGTTTGTAAGCCGCTCTGAGACTCCAAGTGAAGGGCGGAGTATAAATCCAATCTCCTCCTCCTCCTCTTCTTCTTGTCCTCCTCCTCCTCCTCCTCTAAGTGACAGCCCTTCAAATACTTCAAGAGAGCAATCATGTCCCCCCCTCAACCTCCTCTCCTCCAGAGCGAACCTTCCCAAGTCCCTCAGCCTTTCCTCACAGGTCTTGGTCTCCAATGCATAATGCATCAGGACTAAGATTACAGTGTGAGTAGCTGCCTAAGGCAGGATGTACTATAAACAATGCAGAGAGTGGAAGAGCAAGATGATAGCTAGAATAATAATCATAGTCTGTGCTACTATTCCATTATAAAGGCACCTTCCTGGACTATTCCATACTGTTCCGTTCTAGTTCCTTTGCAGAAATGCCCTCCTGAACATTTCTATTTTAAATGAATGATAGAACCCTGGGAGTCTCCCTGGTCTCCTAGGCAGGCCATTTAAAATCTTATATAAAACCCACGACAGTTTGTGGTGCTTTAAAAGTATTCAAATGAAGATCTAACCTGGAACTGCATCACTAAAAACCTGGGGGTGCCTCTCTCAGCCTCACTGTCAAGGACTAGCCACTTACTTTGTAAAGCTGAACGGAGTTGGGCGAAAGTGGAAGATGCCCTGAGTGCCGGCTTTGTTACTGCATTATTAAAAGAATCCTGCTTTGGGTCGCTCAGTACCAGGTCCTTGCGAGCCTGAGGATCTTCTAGATGGAGTAATCTTTGGGGCCAAATACCTGGGCTCCACTCAGCTGATCTCGGAGAGGACCCCTCCCACCAGCATCCGAATGGCTCAAGCGCAGGAAGCTGTGGACAGGATAAAGGTAAGGCCAGCAGCAGGGGGTGTCGTTTGGGGGGCCACACTGGGACTATTGGGTTGAGAGCCAGTTTGGTGTAGTGGTTAGGAGTGCGGACTCTAATCTGGGAGAAACGAGTTGGATTCCCCACTCCTCCACATGCAGCCGCTGGCGTGACCTTGAGTCAGTTACAAGCTCTTTCAGAGCTGTTCTTTCACCAGCAGTCCCCGAAAGAGCTCTCTCAGCCCCACCTACCTCACAGGGTGTCTGTTGTGGGAAGGGGAGGGGAAAAGGATTGTAAACTGCTCTGTGACTCCTTCGGGTAGTAAAGGGCGGGGTATAAATCCAATCTCTTCTTGGTGGCTAAAAAGGGATGCAATTCGGGGGGAAGGGGTGGTGGATTGCTACAGGGACTGATTGTGCCCCTTTCTCTGTCTCGAGTCACTCAAGAGTTCAGCCATTTTAGCAGTCTCCCCCTCCCCCTTTGTTCTTTGGGGAGTTCACACAAACAATTTTTAACAGGGAAATGTCACCATAAGGCGAAAACCTTTCGTGCATTCTGGATTGTTCTTGTCGTCGTTTTCCTATGAACGGAGTTCCCCATGGGATGAAGTAGGTTACGCAGTCCCAGTTTTAATCTCTTGGCATCTCTGATTAAAAGCCGGGCTGGCGAGGGCGATACAACTCTGCCTGTGACCTTCTGCCAGTCAGTCGTGGACAGGACTCCCCCTTGTACACCCAAACCACCATCAGCATCTGCCAAGGCTGACCTGCCTTGGTCTGAGAGATCCGTTCTACTGTCTCCACCCGGAGACCCCGGAGCAAGCATCTCAGTGACAACATAGCCGAGTTTAACCTGGGTTTGGTCCACTAGACTCACCATAAAGCAAAGTAAAACGTTATTGCAGAAATGTATTTATTTTATCCATTTAAATACCCCGACTGTCTTCCCAGTGGGGACCCAAGGCAGCTGACTTCATTCTCCTCCCTTTGATTCTCACAACAAGCCTGTGAGGTAGGTTAGGCTGAGAATGTGTGACAAGCCCAAAGTCATCCAGAAAGCTTTCATGGCACAAGTGGGGATTCAAACCTGGGTCTACTAATCCAACACTCTTAACCACAACAACACAAATATTTTAAAAAAGATTTTCAAAGCAACATAATTCCAATGGTAGGATCATGTACACAGAAAATGACAAAGCTACCTCTCTGGAGACACTTACTGGGTAAGGTCTTAGCAGCATAGATCAGAAGGAGGAGGAGGAGGAGGAGATTGGATTTATACCCCGCCCTTCACTTGGAGTCTCAGAGCAGCTTACAAACTCCTTTCCCTTCCCCTCCCCACAACAGACACCCCGTGAGGTAGGTGGGGCTGAGAGAACTCTGACACAAACTGCTCTTTTATTGGGCAGCGTGGGGGAGGTGTGCCAGCATTCGCTAAAGCCGCAGCATTTGTAGCGGTTTGTTGTTGCAAAGAAAGCACAGCTTGAGTTAATTGCTGCACCTGTGCTAGCATTCCCTCCAGTGGGTCCATACCTCCGGTTGCTCCGTCTTCCATGGTGGAAATGAGTGAGCGTTGTGGGTGCTGGCAATCTGTCATGGCAGGGCCAGGGGGCGTGATGCAAGTAAGCAAAGTCCAAGAGCAGTCCGAAGTCAAGCCGAGTAAGACAAGCAGCAAAGTTCAAACAGGTTTAAATCAGAATCCAAAGCCAGGGTCAGACATACCAGAGTTCAATGTCCATAAATCCAAACGATGCCAGAGGAGTCAGAGACAATAGCAGGGTCAACGAAGCCGAGGGTCAAAAGCCGAGGATCAAGACGACAAGAGTTCTGAAGCAGAGATACACGGAGTAGGTCCTGTCAAAAGACGTTTGCCAGCACAAGTTCCTTCCAGCCACAGGCTTGAAGATATACAGTGCTGGCTAATTACCTCATTAGCTGGCAGGGAGCGAGGTCAAGCTCCAGTCAATACTCAGGGCTGAGAGATCATCTTCCACGCATGCGTGCATTCCGGCGTCGATCTCTCAGCTCCTGTCTCCGTTGATTCCGGAGCCTGGTCACAGCTGGTGGTGAATCGGGCGAGGAATCTCTGTGCTGCAGCAAAGCCTGATCCTGTGCAGGTGTTTCCTGGGAGGCTCTATCCTCCTCATCACTTAGGGAGCTTTCAGCCACAGGAGCCAGCCTTTGTCTATAAGTCTCTGCTGCAGCACTTTCCTCAGGAGCCTGTGGTATCAATTCCACATGCTCCTGGCTGGTACTGGCAGGTGCCTCAGCAGGGGCAGGCATGACAGCGACATGGATGGGGGAAAGGAACATAGCCAAGTAGCATAGATGACATTTGATAGAAACTTGGGCCGTAAACCTCCTGACCCTCTAACCAATCCTTGAGCTTTCTCTGAGGTATCTTCTGGAAGAAGAGCAAGGTCGTCGTCCCCCCCACTTCACCCAGCTGAAACTAATTAGCAGGCTTGAGAAATGACCTTGATGAACTAACCCTCCCATCCAGGAGTGGATGACACTTGCTGCTCACAGGCCAGAGCAAAGGAAAATGGTGTTAAATGGAACTTTCCCAGAAGATGGCTTCTCTCTTGACGCCATCAATCTGACTGGCAAAATTTTGCAGGACTTGCACTTGGCCTGTCTCACTTCCAGAGAATGGCAAAGCGCTGGACCAAAGCTGGACCCACTAGCTGTCTTTACCAGCCTCGGCTTCTCTTGAGATTTCATCAGGGGCTGCCCAGGCACTTTCAAGCATAACCACGAGGACTGGAGACTTGCCTTTATTTCTAAAACGGAAGGTCAGATTCTCAGGTAACTGAAGAAGAAGACTAGGTTTTTATACCCCACTTTTCTTTCCACTTTACTCTGGTGCAAGCAACCTTTCTTGGATCCAACTCAAACTTCATCGCTCTGCCGGAACCATTTCTAAGTAACTTTCTGTCTTGTAAACAGGCTCCAGATGGAGAATCTCAGCCCATGACAGAAGTGGATCTCTTTGTCTCCACACAGAGGATTAAAGTTCTCACAGCTGACTCTCAGGTACATCTCAGGTGGTTGCTGTCAGTCTAGATGAGTTCATTTCTTCCAGCCAAATAGCAGGGCAAGAGATTTGTAGAGAGGGAGTCATTTGAGGGAGGAGGAGACCTTCAGATGGTTGAGGGTGGTGAGAAATTTAAGGAAGTCTTTCCCATCATTAGAAGGATGAGGGAATGAATGATTTTGGTGGCAGAGTGCTGGACAGAGGGAAGGGGTTGAAAAAGATACCAAAGGCCAGAGAAAAGGATGCTGCTGTAGCCAAAGCAAAAAACAACCAAGATTTTTTTTACAGAGGTGTCTGAAGAAACCAATTTTTTACTGTACTGTAAATTTGGTGACAATCAATGCTGGTGGCAAAGGAGAAAGAATTAGAGGTTTTGAGGCTTTAGCCTGTTCTGCAGGGCAGAAAGTGAATTTTTTTCCAGTGGATATGGAGAATATCTGGGGAGAAAAGATGAGAAGTTCTATCTTGGACATAACAGTTTTGGAGGCCACGATGGAGTCGGATTCAACTGGCTTTCGAGCAAGGGAACCTTTACCTTTTTAAAATTTGGTGACAGTCAATTGCTGGGGGCAAAGGAGAAAGAATTAGAGGTTTGAGGCTTTAGCCTGTTCTACAGGGCAGAAAGTGAAATTTTTTTCAATGGATATGGAGAATATCTGGGGAGAAAAGATGAGAAGTTCTATCTTGGACATGGAGGCCACAATGAGATATCCAGGCAGCAGTATTGGACAGGTAGTTGGAGATGCAGGATTGGATGGAGAACAAGAGAACATTCAGGAGTGTCATAAGAACAAACGTGGTACTGAAAGTCATCCGCTTAGATGAGATCACCTTGAAACAGTTGAGAACCTAGATGGTTCATTGTAATTCCTTATTTTGGACTACAATAGGCGCAGTTATCACACCAGTATCACTATATCTAATAGCGAAGGCACCCCCTGCGTGCGGATATCTAGATCCGCACATCAGGGGCACCTGAGGGGCAGGGAGATTTTCCTGCACACTTGGGGCAGTCCCCAGGTGTGCACAAAAATCTAAAAAGTTGAAAAAAATATAGGGAGGATATTTAAATCCCCCCAAAAGTAAAAGAGAGTTTCCTGCGCATGCGCAGGGAACGCTCTAGGAACTCTGCGGTGGGCCGGCAGCTGGAAGCC